CGCAAAACTTGTCGAGATTTAACAGATCGTTCTCCACACGCTAGTGCAGTTTTTAACATTCGCAACACTTCAAGCTGGTTTTGCACGTCATAATCTTCCTCATCAGGAAGCCAATTGGCGAAAAGAAACGTATTTCCTCTGCTACTTCCGGTCACTTCCATGGCTTTTCTTCGGACCTCATTTTTGTTCTTAGACTTCAGCTTGTCAAAGTGAGTGACAGCTGTAACTATGGTGACACCTGTGAACCAATACAAAAAGCCTTTTTAAAATATACAATCGTACGGTGCAGCTTAGTCCCCAGGGCCGAGTTGTTCGAAGGCTGATTAGCGCTTTAATAACCCTGGTTTCTTTATCTTGTGTTCAAAAGCATTTTCTGTGCTATTTTTAGAGCTTCCAATCATCAACTTGTAGACAAAAAGAATTAAAGCTGAAATGCTTTTTAAGCTTTCAAATCTTAATTCAAATATCGCACTAACCCTGGGTTATCTTAACCCAGCTTTGAACAACTCGACCCAGGTGTTTAAACCTGGACTCTGCCGTGAGCTGTGACGTCACCTAGAGAGCCTCGCCCTCTCTTTCCCAGACTTCACGAGGACATTGTTTCAAGAGAGGTTATGTTCTGTGATGGGCCTAGTTTCGTTCCTTACCTTATATAACTTAATCAAACTAAAAAGTTTCACGCAAAGCATCTTTTCTTCATCTTCCAGTTTTGTCGCGACAAGTAGGTCATGTCCACCAAAAAGACACTCGAGTTATTTTTTCTTAAGTTTTGATTGGACTATAAATCATTATGGACAACGCATGGACAGTTAAACAGTTGTCTTTCAGTGCAGCAGCAATGATCTGCTTACACCAAGAGGACCCCAAGAGCCATAATGGGATTATGGCTTTTGCTTACACGCAAATTTCTGAGTTTTGTATCAATCTTCAGTGAACAATTCCATTTGCAGCTCGTGACAATTCTAGAACAGTTAGAAAAAAAAGGACTACAAGCATAATGGATGAATGATTATATTAAACAAAAATATTTCGTATTGTGTTCAGTTTGATGCAGATCAATAATTATTTTTCCCTGCCTTCGGCATAATAAAAATGGTATTGGTGCAACAACAGTGACAAACTAACCTTCTCTGTTCAATTTTTGTTGCACAAAAGCAAACTTGCCAATGTACTGATCATTCTCAAATCGAATATCGTTACCCTTGATTACCCACAAGGCCACATGGACCTGATCAGCAAGTGGAGGCTTTTTGAGCCTGTGAGCAGCCTGGCCAGCTTCTTTAGCCATTTCTTCAGCCCATTCCCCTCGTTCGAGATGCTGGCCCGATGACTCAATTCCGTAGAGAACTCGGAAGAGTTCATCTGAAATTTATGAACAACACGATTTTGTATTCTGATATAAAGGGGTATGAAAAGTATAGTCTGGAATCAGGGGCCATAATCGATTATGACTCTTGCTGGAATTAATGCAATATTACTGGAAGGAAACTCTTAAATGGGGCAAGGGTTGCTTGAATAAACAGCGGCAAAGTGAAGCTGCCACCTTGCTAAACATAACCATGTTCACACAATACCGGATATCTTTTGCACCAGCATGAAAACCATAACGGATATGGCTTCGGTTCACACATAAGAACAGTGATTTCGGCGCGATTTCTACAATAATCATAACTATAACAAAATTCTCAAATCTGATTGGCTATCAACTGCCCTGATTTCAGCCTTAATAGGACAGTTTAATAGGACAGTACGCGTCATGCCTAAGTAATTGGACAGTACGCGCCATCACGCGCGCGCTTAAATGGCTTTTTTTTTTCACTGCTAGCAAAAATCTTGGAATTTCTTGTGTTTTGATTTTAAAAAGAGCTTTATATATCACAAATTTTGTTAAAGTTATGATCAATTGGTAATAGAACCTCGTGTCGTCCAATTCGATTTGTAATCATACTCGTGATTAAACAAATCGGACTCCCGCTACGCGGTCGTCCAATTTTGTTAATAACTCGCATGATTTCAAGCCGAATTGGACTCCACTCAGTCCTGTTACCATTACTGAGAGTCACATATCCGAAAGGTGTTCACACTATACCGGATGGACACAAGAAAGCTACCCGGTATGGCGTGAACTCTTAAGATAGGGGTGTGCATGACAAGGCCATTTGCACAATGACGTCATTTTAGAAGTCAGTCATAATCTTTTGCACAATCTAACTCACGATAGCTGTTGCTAACTGGTGACTGGTTTCCTGTTTTTAAAGTTAGGTCATTAAAGGTCAATAACCAAGCCTTGGGCTTGCCCAGATTGGGTGGGGGCGGGGGGGGTGCACTGCTAGCTGTCAAAACCAAAGAGTTGAAAAAGGCAGATAAAGAGCCCGATACCGCGGTGAGTTGTCGGTGACCGGCTGTTTCGTAACATAGAAAAACACAGAAACTCACAAAGCACTCGTGACTCGCCGCAACCCAGGCGTTATGGTCTATGGCAAGTAACGCCGTTCTACTGCGAATAGGCTTTTGTACATTATGCTAGCATTTTTTCGAGCATTTTAGTGAGACAAAAGCATTGAGCATTTTCCCCGGAAAATTAATTTTTCCGAGAAAATAAAATAGAAATTAACTTTTTTCAGGAGCCCTTGCCCCACGAGCTCCTGCGTTTTTAAAGAAAATGAAGACTAAAACTCAAACTTCACAAAAAACGTAATACAGCTGGCTTTTTTTGGCTGTATTTATGAACTTGTACACGTTGTCGTTGTTACTTGCAACACTTGCACGTTTTTGTGAGTGTAAACTTTGAAATTAATTTAAAAAACCGTTTGTATAATGAGCATTATCCGAGCATTTTAGTGACTTTTTTGGGGAGACCAAGCATTTTAGTGGGAAAAATGGAGCATTAAGGTGGAGCATTTTAGTGGGGAAGCAAAAGCATAATGTACAAAAGTTTAACTGCGAAGCACATCGATTTATGACGTCATCAGACCTCTACTTCCGCCTTGTCCGTTTCGCTTTCAGTCAAAACTTTTTCTTAACTTCGCACAAAATCTGATTTATCAGGTATCTTCATAGTCGAGAGCAAAGAAAAGAGAGTAACTTACTTTCTTCAGCATTGTTAAAGTCGAAGTTAAATCCTCGTGTGTCGCTAAATACAAAGCCGCCAAGTTCACTGTCCGAAGCTGATCTTGAGTGAAATTCTTCCAGTATCTGTGTACCCTCGCCTCCAGATGCCTGTTCTATAGCAGGAGCACTTTCTTTGCCATACAAAACCTTCCAAATCGTGTTTACTAACGACGATTTTCCAACGCCTGTCATACCGAACACAGCCACTTTTATTTGCATTCCTTCCATTTCGCCTTCACGCGCGTCTTTGAAGGAGTTCAGGCCCTCGATACTTCCTGCTTGGTAATTCTGCAGTTTCGCCTTCAGATCGCGGACTTCGCCTTGGATGCCTTCAGTAGACATATTGAAGTGATGATAATTGTGAATAGCTCCTCCAACTTCAAATATTTTTACAACGATGACGCTGAGACCTGAAGGGGATTCCCGGAAAAATGCTTCCCAGAAAGGTACCTCGCCCCAGGTCCTTTCGCCAGTGACGGAAATTCCTCTGATGGCAGAAGCCCATTTTTCGAAGTATGCAGACGTTTTTTTTGTTGTTGTTGTTTTCCTTCTTTCGTCTGATTTTTTTTTCCTGTAAACATTAAGACCATAAATACCTGAAGTATAGTAATTTTAATGGACACGCTTCAAAGGAAGAATACCGCTCGAAGTTATGAGCGCAAGAATCTCAAAGCGTAAGCCTTACATACGACACAAATGTCTGTAAAATGGGTAGGTTGTGAAGCTATTATATTTTACTGTAAAAACTCCCGCACAAAATGATTTCAGCAATAACCACCCTTCCGTGCAAAAAGCTCCATAGTTTTCTACACACCTCGTACATCGAGATCCCCACAAGAAAAAAACCTGGGATTGCAAACATTGGAGGTTACAAGGAGTATTACAGGATGTAATGCCAATTCAAAGGCAACTATGGATGTAATACGGTACAACAGAGAAGAAACCATTTTATTTACAAACTCAAAATGCCTTCTCTTTGCTTAGGAAAGAAAAATGAGTAACATACAACTAGTGCATATCCTTCAGAACCAGCACTTTTTTTCAGCATTGTCTGTTATATTTTTGTACCAAACCAAATAAGTTCATTTTTCTTGGGTCCTCTCCTACCTGTCCCTGCAGGGACAGGTAGGGGAGGACCCTAGAAACGAATTGTAAAAGGGTGCTGCCAATCGGATCTTCTTAGTTAACACACTACTAGCCTACTTCCCCTTGGCTGGCAAGATCAGAGTGGACAACCTCGTTCCCAGGGTCCTCTCCTACTCGGTCTCGGAGTAGGAGAGGACCTTAGGAACGAGGTTGCAGAGTTTTGGCGTTTTGCGCATAGCTGACAACAAAGCCGCGAGAACGCCACCTGTCTCCTTTTTTCCATAAAGCAGGAGGGGAATCTTAATTTAACTCATCCCATTCCTCTCGAGGCTTTACAGTCTAAGGCATATCAACGACAACAGAAGAACAAATCGAATGGAATGAAGCAGTCGCGCGCGATAAACCGCCAGCTAGCTACGCAGGTTAATTCATTACACTTACTGAAATCCCTTTAGATGTCTATACACTTGACCAGGAATGTGAGTAGAAATCTTTGAGAAAAGGGATCCTACACCCAGATTTCCAAGTTCGTTTTTCACTAACACAAATGCCAGCTTTCTGTTTTTTTCATTCCCAAAACAACGGTTCATTTAATAAGGAAACGCCACAAAATTTTTCTATTAAGGTGAATAAAGTTATGAAGTATAAATCCTCTTAACGAAAATTCCAGCCTAAAGTAAAATTCATTACAATTTTTACGGTAAATGAAGACTTCCCAAAAGATATTCGTGAACGACGCGTTTGTGAAGTGGACTTTCCAGAAGTCCTTCCTCTTAATACAATTTTGTAAATTATGTGCCAACATTTACACTCAGTACATTTATATCCAGTATTCGTATTCTCACTAATGAGCTGGTACTAGCTTACAGTCGAGGCTTCTACTAATGCAATGTAATCATATCGTGATAATAGCGATTTGTCACCATGAAATCGCCGTTCTTTTTAGCTTGAATTGGGGCACGTTTCTCGAAAGTCCCCGTAACTTCTCGGGACCGAAGCCATATTTTAAAATCAAATGCTAAAGTACGTTAGTGCTGATTCAAGCCCCCTACCAATCCATTTCTTTGTAAGCGACGACCGGAAATGCGTCTGCTGTTCGCAGGCTAATAAAAACCTCGACCTTCAACTTTATCATGACACAAGTTAAACAGAGTTCCGGACCCGGTAATTACCTGGACCTTCGCGAAACGGGCCTCTTTCCGAAATTTGATGCAATTTATCGTCGATTTTCTACACGAGAGGTACTAAAAAACATAAGCGGACCTTCAACTAGACACCATTACCAGCTCAGTGACTAAAGGTTATTTGTCGCAAACATGGAGGATATAGACCTTGTCACGGTTTTTGACGCCATCTTGACGAGTAGGCAAACGCGTGAGAAATTTCAGTGTTTGTATGAGAATCTAATGTGAATAATTTCCGTAGAACGGCTGTTCTGAAAAAAATATGAACTGTAAACTAAAGCTTCACTCCTAAGGATTCTACTGACAAAAAATTAGGGCGTTTCATGCGCTAGAAGACCCAGAGCCACTTTTTTAAATGTTCTATACATTTGTTTGTAAGAAAGTCCAGGGAAAAATTACAGTCAAATATATGGAAAATCTAAAGCAAGCTTCTGGAGAAATTTAAGCACAGATACGCCCCCAAAATTTGTTGGTAAAATCCTTTGCTTTGTAGCTTTAGTTTAGAATTTATATTTTTTCAGAAAAGCCGTTATGCGGAAATTATTCGACATTAGATTCTCATACAAACACTGTAATTTCTCACGCGTTTGCCTACTCGTCAAGATGGCGTCGAAAACCGTGACAAGGTCTGTTGGTTCAAGATTATTGAAAATTGCAATAAAGTCGCCTTAAAATTGGCGCTTCTTTAGCAAGGCAATTCGAAATCGCACCCAAAATCGCAAGAGAAAATTGCCTGGTAACGCTTGCATGATGGGAAGATTCCCACATGAGCCTCGACTTCATAGTAGTTCCAGTAAATATCTCAAGGTATCTCTTCTACAGGTGAACTGGTGTGTGCGAGCGTTAACTGGGAATCAGTTGTTGTGTTCAAAGAACATAAAATCCTGAAAAAAAAATAGTGCAAAAAGAGAATTACAACGAAAGACAACTTAGTTCAACAGGGGGAGAACATGTCAAAAGTGACAATTACCCACGACTGCAGTTGATTCCTTCCCCTTTCACGCTACTGTAAATTACCGCAAATGATCCCCCACCGTAAATGATCCCCAGAGTGGACCGCAAATGATGATCCTCGACCGCAAGTGATCCCCATTGTCGACCGCAAATGATCCCGAGAGGAAAATCAGAATGGCCTGGACTCAAGTTACTGGATCATCGTGTCACGTTTATTATCGCAACAAAAAGTATTAGAGGGACACGTTCATGGCTCAGCACATGCTCATTTATTAAAATGCTGTTTCTCTGCGTGACATGCTGTATCGTCTATGCAAGCAATATGATCATGTCATAATGTTGTCAAAGAAATACACTCTGAGATCGCTGAGATACATGTGAGTGGGATTATTAACGGATAGAATTAATAATAAATTGGAAAGAAGTAATTTAATTAATGAGCATGCGCTTAACCGTGAACCTGTCCCTTTAACTAAACTTAATACAATTAACAAATAAAATACCAAGACTGAAAAAAAAGAAACCACAAAACTACATTTAAAAACGCCGATTTTTTAAAAAATTTTTCTGCAATGTTTTCTTTAAAAAAAAAAACGCCAGGCTTAGCTTAGCTAAAGAAAACAACCGACTTTTGCGACGCCACCAAGGCTTTCCCCGATAAATGAACCACCTTGGTCACGTCGCCAAACGTCTGCTGTTTTCTCAGACTAGGCTTAGTACTGTTGAAGAGGTTTAATTTGAATTGTAAAACCGAGGAATAACAGTTAGGATAGCCAGTCAGCCTTGAATGCGAGTTGGATATGAGATGCACGCTTCGTTGGCTATAATCATCTCATATCCAACAAGCTCAAGTGGAATAATTATTTGATTAAAAACGCCCACAAAATACCGAGATTACTTTCCGACTTAATTTGTAAAAACAAGCGATTTTCAGCTTGTTTTTAATTTTGAGCAGACACATACACCTGCCGTATATGGAGAGCATGGTATAATGGCTCATATACCCTGATGGCAGGCCAATCACAGCTCTAGAATTGCATTATCCAATGATTCACTTTTTAACAATTAAGAATTATTCCACGTGCGCGCGTTGGGTCTGAGATGGTAGCTTGCGAGACAAGTCTCTGAGAATTTGGGGGATATCGCAAGTAGGGTTACCGGTCGTTTCGATACAAGTGAAGTTAATTCCTTCGAGGCGTAAATAGTTTCACGCACTTGGCTTATTTAAAGAACGAAGAACACTCACCCAAAATGTTTTTTCTTGTTCAATTGCAAAATTTACTTGAAGTGATCGAAATTTTTGTGCATGCAGTCTCACTGCTAGAGTTCGTGTCGAAACGACCGGTTTCCGCAAGAAGTCATGTGCCACTTGCTCTCGCTTTCGCGGCTCATTTCGCTTGCTACTTAAAAATCGAGAGCTTGCTCGCTTGCTACGGGAAAAAGGGTGCCTAACAGTGACAGTATCTTAGTAACAGTACTTACAACAAGGAAACAAGCGCCCATTAAAATGGCTTTGAACTTGACATCCAAGTCTAAGGGGACTGAACAGAACAAAATTTTGATTAATAGCTACTCGGCCTACGGAGAGAACCCTGGGAGCGAGGTTGGCGATCCAGCCCAGAGCCGTGCATGTTTGCAGTAAAGATTGAGAGAAGTGCGCATGACCAGTGTTTGACCTGATGTAAATGGCAAGTTTGTTGCCTGGTTAGCCAGGATATCGGCCTCATGATGAAAGGTCGACTGTTGACAGCTACTTTAGTTTCTCAAAAAAAAACTCGAACGTGACAAGCGCGTAAGGGTTACAGGGGTGGGTTCTCTCCTCCTACCCTCTGACCCCTTGAGCTCTACACTGACAGAAGCGATTTGGGTACAAAGACCTGATACTGATTGAACTAATTATTTACAGGACAAAAACAGTTACGCTGCAGTAGTTTTTTTATATAATTTATAAGTTAGCATTTCTTACATCGAATGCCAAAGTTCTCAGCATCAGTAAAAAATTCTCGTGCAAAACCAGTCCATTGCTTGGAAATCATTCCAATCTGACTGCTGCCATCAGCAGAAGTGACCTAGAGTAAGATGAATACGTTAATAAACGCAATGTAGGAAACATCGAAACTTTGTGCTCCAGTAAACTAGAAGAAATCACAGATTATCGTGTGTTGACTTAATATTGAATTCTGTCTCCTGGTTTTTCCAGATACATGTACTATGCCAAAGGCTAAAAAATATTTGAGACAAAATATTATTTTCAGATGACACCGCAGCCTTACCCTTCTGAAGTCCCAAGAGTGACCAATTTGGATCAAGTTAGGTTTCCGGGAAACTGCCCACCTACCCCTTCCCTAAACTAAATTAACACTTACTTCTCACTTACGGCAAAATGATGGATTGGGGAGGGGTAGGTGGGAAGTTTCCCTGAAACCTAAATTTATCCACCAATTTTCCTTCCAGCAATATATATAGACACATAATCAAGAAAAAGAAAAAAGGAAATAGAGAAATTGGTTTGATTTTTTTTTATCAAATTCTCTCCAGTAATTCTATAAGAAAATGTCTGATGATCAGTTTGGAGAATTTTTGTTCCTTTAACCTAACAACTCACAGGAAATTCCACATCAGAGCCACAGCTGCAAGGACAGCAAGGTCCATCGATCGTCATAATATGCTGACGCTGTGCATCCTGCACTTCTAACTTTGCTTTCCACAATGTCCACCTGTTTAAGAAATAATTATAAAAAAATGCTAAGCTATACCTTACACAAGGTTTGTGCAGAATTTCAACATAGTATAGCCACTTTCTGAAGCTCAACTCCAACATGCAGTTTTTTGAAGCGTACGATTCTATTCACTCAATTTTTAAGTGCAGTTTTTGCATATTGGGCATCTTAATTTTGTATAGAAGTATAATGCAACAGCATTTTCAGCAAAATGGTCTTTCAAGGGTAACCAACCAGGTGAAAAAATAACGGACTTTCCAGGGTGTGAGGGGGAGGGGGTACAACATTCACCTGCTGAAATGAAAATTCCAGGTTGGATTGAAGCACCAAAACAAAAGTGCCCTACACAAGGGCGGGGGGAGATATTTTCCAAAACTACACATTTGAAATAGATGTCCATCTTTGCTTTTCGAATCAGACTTAAGATCTCAGTAAAAGGAGCTTACTTTTGTTCCACATATCCAACAACTGTCCCTGGAGGAGACTGGACTTCTATTTCCTGAAGACAGCAAGGACAACAGCAGCACTGGCACCGGAGGGGTCGCGACAAGTGTATTACTTCTCTTTGCATGTTGTCTAAAATTTTCATCTCAAATGGACGACCAGGGCCACAACATTGCCGAGTACAGCAGTCAGTGTCTGAAGATAGGTAAGCATAATTGATTTTTTCATTATGCAGTTAACAACTATTAAGGCCTTGGGCCAAACGTTGAACTTTTCTTGAGATGAACCAAACTTTGTGAGCTAGGTTCATGAAAAGTTTGATGCCTGGCTCAGTTAAGTTTTTCTGAATGAGTTTGGATTGTCCATCCCATTCTATCCGTTTGCTTCAGATGGCTTGAACGTCTGAAGATTGTCTCCGGGACAAACGTTGATCTTCCCATATGACAAACTAGACTAATAAATTAAAAATTTGTATGAGAATTACTCTAGCATCATTCGGCTAAAATCTGTAAGCTATGGTATTTCATACACTCTAATTGTGTCCCTTATTACAATATATAATTATTACATTAAATATCAATGCTCTATGTTAAGTTGATTATTAACTATAGTAATTAAACATGATCATAAATATATTAGAACAGTGAGTCAAAGGAACTGAGAATCAGCCTTGGTTTGAAACCACTGACTGTAACCTGAATTTCAGTTTTCCTTACAACATCATTAAAGAGGTGAATTGTTTGACTTATTTAAGATACCTTCAGCAGCAAAGTACACTTGTTGACCCATGGAATTACATATCTTGTACTTGTTGTTGGTTTCAAATCCAGTAAAAGCTTTGAAGATAAAGGTCATACATGTGTCAGAATCACAAAGAATTTTAATTGTACAGCTCAATGGGTGGGTGGTCTTGAGCATTTTGCAGCTCTTTTACCTCCAACTGCTCATGCTGTATTTTTAGTAAAAAGGTTTAAGGGGGCTTAACGTCAGTTTTGCTGCATCTTGACTTGAAGAAGTCTATTGTTTGTAATTAAGTTACACTGTTCTGTATTAAAGGTCAACAGGGATACATTAAAAAAATTGATGTCAGGATGCTGTCTGATTTTCCCACTTTCCTTTCCTTTTCCTTACCAATGCATGGGTATCAACATCTGCCCTGGGCAAACAAGCCGAAATTTAATATTTTAAGGCCCCTGTAAACCTCCTCTGACTTCACCTTCCATAATCCTAAGTCAATATATTTTTATGAGCAACCAGTAACAATTTATTATTTTTTCCTATTCTTACTATTGCCACTGAGAAATAGCCTATAAAAGGTGCTGTACATGTTTATTCTGATGGAACAAAATTGCCTTTAATATGGATCTTCTACCTGTGAAAGTTTTATAAAACAAACATGCACCGGCCTGTAATTACATAATTGATAAATGCATGTACAGATCTATGCAAATTCTGTGCATGCTCACAATTTCCCAAAATAACCCACAGTCAAAATGTTTGAACATTGATATGGTACATTGTACATGACATGTACAAACAATATAATGCTTTTACAAACTTTGCTATAAAGTGAACACACACTCTCACAATATTAATATTTACTTTCTCCAAATAATATAAGCAGCTGAATTTGCCACTTCCATGTAAGGGATCATCAACTAAAGGAATAAACTTTTCCCGCACTTATTTTTCCTGTAGTTTGTACTTTGGTTTTGAGCAAAAATACATCCAAAAAGTTCATTTTTCTGGTCACATCTATGGACCTTTGTTTCAAAAGAGATTTAAAGGTTAATTCCAGTTCATCTAAAATATCATTTTAAACACATGCGTATAACTGAGCACTAATGAATGTAAGCTGTAAGTAAGAGGAATACCTTCTAAAAGCTCAATTTGTTGTTGCACAAGCACTTGATCAATGGCAGATAAATACTCCAGTCCAGGAGGGCAACCCATTGGTGCCTGAGGAGCCGGCATCCAATTCATCAATTGACCAGGAGCACCTGCACCACAATAAGTTAGAGTTATTACAAAATAATTTGTTTAATAATTTAATTGTAAATCACTGGCTTTTTTGCTATAATAAGGTTTCATTATATCGAGGTTCTTTTCCATGTGCTAACTATTCATGGGGTAAAAAAAAAAAATAGTTTGTTATACCAACGACTTTGTTATAGATGTATAGAGGTTCGTTATATACATGTGTAGGGGTTCCAGGTTCCACTGTATGTAACAGTTCTGGATACACCCCTGCGGAACATTCCTTGTGCTTATTGAACTATGACTATACATGTATAACAAAGTCCTTGGTATAATGAACTGTTTTTTTTTTTACCCCATGAATAGTAAAATTTATGGAAAAGAACCTTGATATAATGAAATCTTATTATAGCGAACTGTTTTGCCAGTCCCTCGTTATATTGAGGTAAGTGACTTCTAGTGAGGCATTAAGGGTGCATTCCTTTGGGATGATCCGGATCAGGATCAGTGATCCGAGATCCCTTGGATCAATGGTAGATCAATGAAGCGATGAATCCACTCTGTACAAGGATTTGTCGGTTCATTTGATCAACAATGATCTGAGTTTTATCTCGGATCACTGATCCTGATCCGGATCATCTCAAAGGAATATAAAATGCACCCTAAGGGTGCAAAGAAAGTCAGATTTTATTACAGCTTGTTATGGGAAAGCTGTGGCAAGCAGGCTTTTAGCCAGACTTTGAAAGCTGGCCATACAGAAGGCATGTTTTCCCATAAAATTATAAGAGATCAAGTGAATTTTCACTGTATTTCTTCAAAAACGGGCATCCATAGGATGACTGGACACCCTTTTGGCTAAAACCTTGGTGGCACGCATGTACTATTCCGAAATTCATTTTAACTAGCCCAAAAAATTTTTGGCTGAAGCAGGATTTGTAATTACATGTAATCAATTATTATTCTTTATCAATTAATTACACCATTACTATTAATTAATTGCTTCCTTTTTCAATTCACTGTAGTGAGCTGGTATTTAACTAAAGCTTTATGTAGCCTTTATATAGCAGCCCTTTTCCTGAGGTGTTTTAATATTGTTTTTACAAGAGGATTGTGCAGATCATTCAGTGTCAAGTCTGGCATCAAACTAATGTAATAGTCTGACATGAAAAGACAGTAAATGTGATACTAATATTGTTTTTGCAGATCTGCACTTCATCAGATCAGCCTGACAAAGGGGTTTTGGTTGGCAAAGTTATTTTTCTCTTGAAACTAAAGCTGTGGGTGATCCTGTGATCTTACCAATTGAAAACTTCTGGGCAGAAATTTTAAACAGACCCCATGGGGGTTTACAAAAGAACTTTGGAATGTTTGTGAATTATCAGTAATAAATCACTTTGGCCATTAAATTGATAAGGGTTAAAGAAAAGAGCATAATTCTCTGAAAACAACTATATTGTCAAATAGCCAAAAGTAAAGGCTAATTTCAAGAACTATAATGAGTGAAAGCAGTTTCCGGGCTGTTACAACTGGCTCCCAACAGAAGAACAGTCACACATGTGTCTGACTAAAATAATCATCTTTTCCAGAACTATAGCAAGGTTTCAACAGACCTTATCATGTTTTTGGAAGGCAGCTTGATGGGTGGGCAACTGCATAAGAAATTATAGCGTTTGTACGAGAATCTAATGTCAAATAATTAACATAAAACGGCTCAACTGAAAAATAATATGAATAATTATTGTAAACTAAAGCTTCACTCCTAAAGATTCTACTGAAAAAAATTGAGAGCCTTATCTGTGCTAGAACCACTTTATGAAATTTCCCATTCATTAATGTCTGCAATTGTTTTTTTCCTGCTCACTAAAATTTCCCAGGAAAAACTGCAGAACAGCTTTTCTACAAAAATAATTTGACATTAGATTCTCATATTAACACCCGACAAGATGGCTTCCAAAATCATGATTAGATCTATTTAATTATATTAATTTGCTCTCATAATTTTGTTAATTTTTACAGTTGTCTAAAGGTGGGTATTTTAGGTATATCCCTGTGATAGACCTCGTCATCTTGTATGTTTTGTGTTCCCAGAGACAGTCTCGGGAGAATTTACCCCTTCAGTCTTTTTATAACTAATGCAAACAAATGCTGTCACGACGAATTCTGGAGTAATATTATTATCACATAACCTACATTGCGAAAGCAAAACATAGAAGCTAAAGGGGTTTACTGCAACTTATAGCCATATAAATTCTGCTAATTCTGCAAACTCTTAAGATCCTTTCAGGCAGTTATAACAGCTGTGTTTGATACAGGAATAAAATAATTACAGGAAATCATTAACTAATATGTTTTAGGACTTGAAGCAAATATTTTTAAAGAACATTAATTTGTTACGGTAGGTTAATATCTCCTGCCACAAAAAAGCAAGGCGAGGGAAAAGGCATAAATATTAACATAACTTAAAAATTCCGCTTCAGAGCATTTGAATAATAATTCAGCGAGGGAACCTTACGAAGTCTGTAAACAACATTAACTTTCGTAATCAGCTATCTAATATTGACAACAGTGAGTGTCAGTCGAAAAGCAGAGCCTTTTAGTGTGTAACATCCCCGTTTTAATTTTGCTTGTTTTACTGCGTAGAATTACTCTGGTCGCAACACCTGCAGAGACATAAAACTCGGATGCAAATGCCCTGAAATGCATGCCGAATGTTATCAAAATAGGTGAGTATGATTCCTGCACGTTCTAGACTTGTGATCAATGATCCTATACATAATTAAAACGATTTATCTCTTAACTCAAGGGTTTTGGTATCAAACTCTCCAGTATATTGATGATTTAGCTCTAAATACCCTGAAATCAACAGCGTGAAGTGGCGCAGTCTGCATGCGAGCCTTCCGCGAAATTCGCATTTATTTCGCCAGTCTTGGGTATTTCCGTTTTTCCCGTTAAAAGTAGTTTTATGAGTTAAAAAATGCGATTTAAGCAGATATACCTGGTTGCTGCTGGACAGGCTTTTGTGGCTGAGCCATTTTTGTACTAGAAATGCAGCGAGCTTAACAGTCCTTGACCAAGCGCTTTCTGTGATCGCATTGTTTTCTCGCGCGTCCCGCCTCTCGCGCCAGTTGTCGTGCCTTCATGGACAGCGGTTGCCTAGTCCCTAGGCCTCATTTTTCCTCGCGGCCAAAGGGTTTCGGGTCACGTGGTCCATCCATTTGCTCAAAACACGATCCTAAGACAACGAATGCAAGTTGAATTTAATGCTTCTCACATTTATAATACACGCATCACTTCTGTGAATGTCGGCGAATTTTATAGGATTTTTACTTTTAGATTCAGTTTCTGGGCACTTTTTGATACGCAGCTAATGAATTTTATTTGATAGTATGGTTTTTCTAATTATTCAAGATTTGAGGTCTAAGTTTACATCACACGGGTCAATATTATGTTTACTTTGAAAATTAGCGAGCGGCAAACTCCGATAGCTCAGTTGGAATGATGAGATTGAAGGAGCAGTATAAATCTTCATAGGACTATGACTAACATTCTGATGACTTTTCAAAGCCGGTCGGCAAAAGTCGATCCTACCTGCCTGCTTGCTTGCTGCTCACAACATTAACGTCATCTTTGAATCTCAAAAAGTAACGCACGCATGTGCATTCTGTTTTTGTCTAGGCGTTTCCCGCCCGTTCGCCTCACCGAAACGAATTGACCGAGAGGGACTGGGAAAACGCCGTACAGGGACTAGGCAAGGACAGCGGCATTATTTTGTAATTCACCCACTTCGTATATGATGTGTGTACCTTCACTTCCGGAATCCGGGAAATTTTTGCTTGTGGAATCGAAAACCCTGGAATCCAGAATACGGCGCTAGGCATCCGGAATCTCACTAACGATTGACATCCGGAATCCAAGTTCCACTGACAAACACCTGGAGGCAGTACCTGGAATCCGGAATACACTGCGTGGATGTGACAGGTGCTTGCCGTACTAATATGAGGTGCTTAACTTGCTTGCTCGGCTTTTACTTGCTTCTTGCTTGAGGTTCCTTGAAAACTTGCACAGTTTCTTTTTGTTCTATTTATTTATTTTTCCTTCTATACATTTTTGTTTTACCCAAGACATCACGACCCACCACCCACGACCAACAACCCCTGCATGCCCACGGCCCACGACATATTCCGGTAAGAAGCTTTCTCCCGGGGGTTAAATGATCGAAATCAAGGTCTTTTCTTTTCATAGCCTGGTCTATCTGGGGTCCAAAAAAGCGGTCTTGCAAACGGTCGTAAATCGCCTGCACTTGACACTCACCGTATTTGGCAACAATAAAATACTTAATCCGATGAAACTAAAATTTATACAGTATTTTAATCAATCAATCAATCAATCAATTGCGTGGGATTGAGCCCTCAGAATCCGAGCCGACGCGGGGGCTCATGTATGAAACGCATGACAAAAATAATGAAAAAAAATTACTATATTGATTGACTGATTGATTGATTGATTGATTGAGTTGAGAACAGCATGATCTTGGTCTTTGTAGGGTTTAGGCATACATTACAATCAGCTGACCGGGTCGTTGAGAGCCTGCTGTAATCGCCGTCTGTTAAATTATAGAATTTGGGGGGATTTTTTTTTAAAATTATATCCCCCCTTCCTGATCGATTTTTACAGACATTCGCTCTTAAAACTGGCTTGGGGTGAAAAAAAAAATTGAAACCCAGCGCCTAGTAGGCCATTTCCGAGTTCTCCCGAGCCGCTGTATCAAAACGAGGTTAAGTGCTCAGCCTTTGATATGAAAATGATTTTTCATTCTTGTGCAAATAAAAATTATTTTCACAAAAAAGGTTGTGCACTTGGCCTCATTTTAAAAGTGAGGGTTTTTTGAACTCGGAAGTGGCCCATTGATATGGCAGAGATGGCGTATAACTCTTTTTATACTACTACATGAGAAATTTCTGCAATTTGATTGGCTTAGAGCAGTGGCTCAGCTTAATTTGAAATACTTAGATGTGAAAATTACAAACCTTTTGCGGGTAGTAGTATAAACAAATAATAGCATGATTTGTACGTGATATTTGGCATAAATACCACCCGTAATATTTCAAAATTGTCTGAAATCTCACTCGCCTAAAGGCTCGTGAAATTACCTATAACAATTTCGAAATATCACTCGTGGTATTTACGCCAAATATCACGACAAATCATGCTATTACCTTTACAAATTACCTTACGCTTGATTACCTTTCTACCAAATTTATACATTGCAGCAGCGTGAAGAAGAGAGGAAGAAAAGGTAGACCCCGAAGGCGCTGCAAACTAGGAAGGTTTGGAGGCATACGTCCTTTGAAATTCATTAAATTTAGGGGCTCGAAAATGACGGAACACGCAACAGTTGTTTGTTTAGTTTACCCATCTCTATTGTAATCGGTAAGGTAAAGTGTTTATGGCAAAAAGAGTGAAACAGTGAAGCCAAGGAAGAGGCTACAAGCACTGGGGGCGAGACGTCTACCCATCAGGCGAGCAAAGATACCAATATAATGTGGAAAATCAGTCATTCCGATAAATGATAAAAACGCTTTCAGGAAAAATATATTTTTTGAGATTTCAGCTGTACGCACGGGCGTATATATGTGCGTTGCAGTCTCTTGCCAGGTACCAATTACTATAAATATAAATACTGCTACCGCATGGCTGTACTGTAGAACAATTTAACCTCCTGATAAAAGACAAGCAAAAATTCTGACTAGCTTTCGGCAGCTGTTAACTTCTAACTCAAAAACGGCATTTATGGAAAACAGGCTTCAATTTAATTCATTTTTTCGACATCACATTATTACAAGTGGTATGAGAGTATGCACTAGATATTTGTAATATTTAAGGATTTAAAAGTATTTATTTCTACTTTATACGTTTAGCCAGGGCTAAAAGCGAAGCTCTCGTTAATATACTTATAGTTTACAGAAACAAAAAATCTAAAGAGCGACACGGTAACGAGAACGGTAAAAGAAAAACAACAAAACGATAGATCTTATTAGCAAAAAAAACAACTTTGTACACTTCTTTGTCATAAGTTTGCACGGCTAAAACGTGAAACGTCCTAGTTACACGTCTTAGACGAAAAAAAAAAGACTCGGCTTTGACGGCTGTCAGTTCATCTTCATTTGGATGGCGTATATAACTGACAGGCTTTTGTCATTTTCCCTGGGCTCCTGCCATGCCTTACCCGGTGTCACGTAGCAGCTGCTCGGAAAAGTCACCAATGGTGCGTTTCTCTGACCCCAGACAATACTAAAACAATTGGAAGAATGACATGTCAATGTTTCCCGCGACCAATTAGGACAGACTTTACGAGCAGCTCCTACACTGCCCGCCCTTAGTATAGTGCTTGTAGTAATTGTGACATTTGACACTGGCTTACATGTAGGGGTGAACGGACGTTAGGACGTACAGACGGTCACGTGATTACCACTACGGGCCTTCGTCACACGGCGGCCATTTTGTCTCGAGAGACTAAAGTAGCTTTGTTTTACCTGTCTAGCCTCGATCGCAAGTTTTTCCCTGCGAGGTTGCGGGTCAAGCCTCCAAGGGTTGTCTGGATATTGGTTCCAGACCCCAGTTGTTCCAAAGGTGGATGACGCTATCCACCTCGATAAATTTCAAGTGGACAGCACTATCCAACGTTTCAACGACCGGGGCCAGAATGAAAAATGGCAATAAAATCGCCGTTAGGTTGCATAAGCGATGCAAAATCGCATCAAAAATTGTACAAAAATAATCGTCTTGTAAGTTATTTGATGAAGGGAAGGTTCCCTGTATAGCCTTAACTACAGTAGCGTAAGATACCGTATTATTCGAAAAAGCGTCGCATTTGAGGCGCGCTTATTAAAATAGAATAATTAAATACAATAATTAAATACAATAATCGTTCCTAGGGTTGAGCACGCGCTGTAGCATACAATGTAAATAAATGAAATGAGTATAAAGCTACCACGACATATCCACTTCCAAAGGTTAACTGATTTGCAACCGCATCGACTGAGTATCAATTGTTGTTGTTCTGATGTTCAAAGAACATGAAATCCTGAGAAACAAACAAACAAAAAAAAAATAAAAATACACAATGTTTAGTCTGAAATGTCATACGTCTCCATCCCCTCACCCGTAGGATAACCCATTCACACCAACTAAACCTGTTTAATTAAACTAGGTTTTAAAAAATGAAAAGCAGTGATGGACAACTGGAACTCAGACATTTACACAATAATTCACTAAATTTTAACTTACTCTGTAATTTGCACATAATTTGTAATAGCTAAAAGTCCGTGAGCAGCTTTTATTAAGGAGACAATTTTGAACCCTGTTTAACAAAACATTTATAAGCTTTGGTGTGAATGGGGCATAATTAGTTGATGATCATGTAGTGAGTGGCCCAAACTAGTCGGCAACACAGCCGTTTTTTAATAGTGTCGTCACGCAGCGCTCCTCCTCACAAGAGGATCGAGCGTCGCGTGACGACACGAAAAACGGCTGTCTCGCGGATTAGGCCCAAGCAGGAGCGCTAAAAATGTTTCTTCGACTCTAAACCCCACTGGTGAAACGTACAAACCCAAAATGTCAGGCCCTGCTATGTCCATATGTATCGGATATTTTTGAAAACGGGTTGGTTGACATGAACAAAAGCGTTCCCCTTCGCTCGCAACTATAAATTTCTTTTTTCGTGCAAATTCTACGAACAAAAAATGTACTGTTTTGTCAACCAACATGGTCGCCTGGTCATGTGATTGCAAACTACCAAGAACGACTATTTTAGAATAAAGTTAATCGAACGCACCCTTTACCATATATGCGAGCGGGATTTTCATTTACATCAGTGGACGTTTAACTGCTTTGGGCAACGTAGCCTGTAAGCAAACTGTCCATTTGGGTGCGAGAAGTAACACGCCGCTCACTCGCGCGTTCTCTGGCGGACTACTTCCCTTGCCACTCAAAATAGAGGGCTTGCTTACAGTCAAAGGGACCGAGTATGCCATGAATACTTACAACAAGGAAACAGGCTCCCATTAAAATGGCTTTGAACTTGACATCCAAGTCTAGAGGGACTGAATAAAAAGAAATGGTTAACAACAGGACTTTGAGATAAGAGTCATTTGCCCTGATTAAGGTTTTCACAGCGCGTGGTTTCTTTGCTTTGCCACTTGCCCGGATTTAAGCCGACGGTTTACAGCCTCTCTAATAGGGAGCTTTAGCAACGACGACGGGCGACGGCAGTGAGAACGTCCAAAAGGTAACAGCTTTTATTAGCAAGCAACAACTTTGCACGTGCATCACGCTTTTTTGTCGTGAAAATACCTAATTGCACGTTTTATAAAGGACGTAAACAGGCGACGACGAATTTTTCTTTGTCTTTCTAAACTTGAGTGCGGTTCAAGAAATCAATTCCTGAAAAATTGGCCTTCATTTGACATTTTCAGCGAATTGGAATAAACGCGACAAAGTATGAAGAAACACGAATTCATTTTAAAAGTAACGTTTTCGCTGCCGTCGCCGTCGCCGTTGACGTTGCTAAAGCTCCCTATTAGGTACTTTAAGATCCAACGACGCGGACGGCAACGAGAACGTCAAATAAACAATAGGTTATATAAGCAAAACGACAACTTTGCACGTGCACCACGCTTTTTTTGTGCATTTCTTTGCCCGTTTTTGCACGACTACGACGTGAAAATGCCCAATTTCGCGTTTTATGGAGAACGTAAACAAGCAACGACAAAATTTAATTTCTCTTTTTGTACTTGAATGTGGTCCCTAGGAATTTAACTCCAGGAGGGTTCGCCTGCATTTGACACAGTAAGTGGGTAAGAATAATTGCGATAAAGACTGAAAGAACGAAAGTTCCTTTTTTAAGCGACGTTCTCATTGCCGTCGCGTCGTTGGATCTCAAAGCTCATATCATCTCAACGCAAACTGGAGGGAACGCGACAAATAAGAAGCAAAACAACAGCAAGGGGGGAGACAGGTAGCCTGTAAGTAAGTTCTCAGAGGGTGGGGTGAGGGAAGGAAAACGCTGCGTTTTTCGCCCCAAGGCTACTGTTGGGGTACGGAGTGATACCATGCACTAGCACACCTGACGCATTCATCAAATATAAATACGAGAAAAAAAGGCTGGAAAAAGTACTGAATCTAACTAGAACAATAGGCGTCACTTAACGCGCTGTAATGGGACAGGAAACGATCTCCCTGTTTTTGTTTGTTTGTTTTTTTTTTTCGTGTGCTCCTAGCGTTCGCACGTGTCGAATAACATCATTTCCCCTTCACCCATTTTTTATATTTTTGACATGGTGTCTAAGCTTAATAGTGACTTAGGCTTTCCCAGGAAAAGAAAACAAACAAGAAACTAACACTGCTTGTACATGTAACTTGTTTAGTGTGGAACACGTTATTTGTACCGTCACAGTATTCCACATACACTGTACACTGTCGTATAACTTCTTGGGCAGAATGTGTAAAGAAACGTAATTGGCAGATGTCCACTGAGTCAACTAAAGGTTCTATCATGTAAAGCATTTATACGACTTATTTTGATAATATTTGTAGGTAACATTCCTTACATCGAATGCCAAAATTCTCCGCATCTGTGAAAAATTCTCGCGCAAAACCAGACCATTGCTTGGAAATCATTCCAATCTGACTGCTGCCATCAGCAGAACTGACCTAATGTAAAACGACAAAACGTATTTAAAATATAATTAGTACACAAAGTAGAAATCATTTAACTTAGTGCTCCACTGAAATATTGAGTTTCAGTTTCCCGATTTTCTGGATACCATGCCAAATTCTAACAAATGTTTGAGACCGAATAATATTTAGAAGAAACTGTGCTTCTTTAAAGCGAAGGCTTGTTGGAAGAAAGGTTTTTTCCATAGTGGATGAAGCTGATGAAGCCCAAGACAGTGCAGATATCTTCACCAATTTGCAGTCATATAAAGTCTCTATGTCACCCAGAGGTTGAATAAAGTTTGTTAACACTTTGTAAGCTTCTTTTTTCCAAGAAAGGTGGCAAAATTAATTTTAATTAAAATCAAGGAAAAAGTATTGCCAGGTAGAGAAGAAATATTTTTATTTCAGATGAAATAATGACCCCCTTTTCTTCAACAAGTGTTCTCGAGAATTTCCAGAATAAATACACCCGAGTGAGTACACTGTATATACTGTACTATACTACTACATGAGAAATTTCTGCAATTTGATTGGCTTAGAGCAGTAATATTTCAGCTTAATTTGAAATACCTACATGTGAAAATTACAACCATTTTGTGGGTAGTAGTATAAACAAATAATAGCATGATTTGTACGTGATATTTGGCATAAATACCACTTGTGATATTTCAAAATTGTCTCAAATTTCACTCACCTAACAGCTCGTGAAATTACGTAGAACAATTTTGAAATATCACTCGTGGTATTTATGCCAAATATCACTGCAAATCATGCTGTTACCTATACTAATTAGTTGAGAAAATTTTCCCTTTGTGCTCTGAAACTGTAAAATCTAGGGTGCCCAGCATATGATTTGTATGAAAAATCTGAGATTTTCTGGTCGTCTGAGGGCAAAAGTTAGGCGCCAGGGGCCACCGGGCTCTGCTAGAGCACAGCCCTGTATTGGGACTTAAAGATTAAGTTATTACCAACAAGTTTTAATCAACTGTACAAATAGTCAGTGGCAAACAAAATTTAACATTATTTCAATGATAGAGTTATTTCTTTGACCTAACAACTCACAGGAAATTCCACATCAGAGCCACAGCTGCAAGGACAGCAAGGTCCATTGATCGTCATAATGTGCTGACGTTGCGCATCTTGCACTTCTAACTTTGCTTTCCACAACGTCCACCTGATTTAAACAAATAAATAGATTAATTAATTAAAATGGTGAGCCTCAATATCTACATGCAATTAATTCTCCAGACTGATCAAAATATGTTTTCCTAAATGACTGGCCAGCCAGGGTAAAAAATATTGGCCATGAAAACCACCTCCTTTCATGCAAGAACCACAAGACCGTAACATTCATGATTGACTACTGGCAATGAACCATAATCAGGCTAATGCTTCCCCCAATGCAAAAAAAAAAATTGCAGCCTCAAAAAAGGAGGACCCAAATGCATGTGTAACAGCAGGCATCGCTATAATGATGGGATCCAGATCTATGGGTTCAAAAAACTCTGGATAAATTTCAAGAAACTGCATGTTGGCAATCAGGGCGCAAAGAAAATCATTTTTACAGCTTGCCATTCGGGCAAGCTAAAGCTAGCATTTACTAGCCCAGACGTCATTTCAACTAGCTCCAAAAACTTTTTGACTACCAGAATTGATTTCACAGTTCTTCTGTTATTCAAATTCCTCAAAAGATATCACTTGCCCGTCGGGCAAGCTAAAAACAGAATTCACTAGCCCGATAGCAAAATCCACTAGCCCCGGGCTATCAGACACTACTTTCTTTGCACGCGGGCAATGACGAATAATTATTCCTTTGTTTGTAACATCATGCCACAACAGCCGAAACTTATTTCTTTCAAAGTCTGAAGAGTTACAGGATATAGTCTGTCAACTTCCTGAAGCTCAATTCTAAAATGCAGTTGTTTATACTAGCATTACTCACTTCAATTAATTTTTAGTACTACTTGTAATTTTAAATACCAGACTAGATCTTGGCCTATGGGAACACACTTATTGTGAAACTCACATACCAGAAATTTTTATGATATGTTGCGAGGTAAAAGCCACTAGCGCACAACACAACTAACCTGCATTAAACAGCAAGAGTAATTAGTTTGTGGTTTTAAGGTTTACTGGCATGTTATCCTGAACTTTATATAGTAATTTGGTCACTACACAATCAACATAACTGAAATTTTTCAGGTGTTCACAGTTTTCGTTATAGTTTTACTGTATCTGGATCTCAGTTTAAATAGCTCACTTTTGCTCCACGTATCCAATGACTGTCCCGGGTGGGGACTGGACTTCTATTTCCTGAAGACAGCAAGGACAACAGCAACACTGGCAACGGAGGGGTCGGGACAAGTGTATGACTTCTCTTTGCATGTTGTCTAAAATTTTCATCTCAAATGGACGACCAGGGCCACAACATTGCCGAGTACAGCAGTCGGTGTCTGAAGATACGTGAGTATAATTATTTTTATGTAAGCATGTACATACACATAGCCATTATACCTTATGTCAATATAATTGCTACAGCTGTAAAGAGTTCTTAAAAAACAAACAAACAAAACATGACATTAAGTAGCCTGGAACCGGGCTCCGCAGAGAGAGAAAAAGGCAAAAAACCGGAAAACTATCGGCGAGCGAAGTGAGACGAATGGTATCCAATGCTGATTTTTGCTCCTTCTTCCCACAATGCGAAGCCTGGTCCCAAGCTAGACATTAATATATTGCTTGACTTATTCAACATACCTTCAGCAGCAAAGTAGACTTGTTGACCCATGGAATTACATATCTTGTACTTGTTGTTGGTCTCAAATCCCACGAAAGCTTTAAATATAGAAAAAGGTCATAAATTATGCTAAGTAAAACTCAAGCTAAAAGAATAAACTTGTCCTCCACGTCTTTTTACCTGTTTCGCCTTTGTTTTATACTGCGAGCAGAGGCTACATTTTCAGGGTATCAGCATGCGAAAAGTAAAAAAAGCTCATTTTTCTCCTGGCGATAGATTTTGATCTTTATTTGAACAGAAAACCATAAGTTTCAAAAATATATTATTTTACACAGCCATAAGCACGCAAAGAAAGTAGTGTCCAATAGCCCTATGTGTTATAAATTAAGTCCATTGCCAATAACAACACGTCCCCCAAATTCCCTAAGGGTATTTTTGCATTCGAGTGCTATGTTTTAAAATTCAGTTTTGAGCTAGCAGTTTATATGAACAGAAGAATTCAGATTTAGAAACCGAAGACCCGGAGACAATTCACGCTAGTGTAAGTAGTTTTTTCGAGATCCTTTGAGCGAATTTCTCATCAGGATATTTGGCTTTTTCCTTTTTCAGGCGAATCATTCTATTAATCCTCAAAATGTAGAAGGGAAAAGAGGCAAGCCCGATTTCGACGAGTGAATGCTAATTAACTTGAATTTTTAAAATACTGACACTGAGAATCAAATGAATCTTGAAGAACAGCAAAACGACGACAACACCATGGTTAGTGGATACTGCTATAAGACTAAGTGAATTCTTTTCTTAACTTGCCCAATAGTGAAGTTTTTGTGGGGGAATTCAAATTACAGATGAACTTTAATCAGTTCTGCTCATCAGGATCGAATTTTATTCGGGCTAGTCAGAACGACTTTTGGGCTATTACTTGCTGGCTGACTTTTGACCATGAGTTATGTACAGGTACCATGATATTGTGGTCTATGTTGTTTTCCTTGGTTTGAATTTTATTTTCCTTAATTGTTTTTGGGTATAATAATGTGTGTGATAAAGAAATTGAAACAAGAAAAAATTAAAATTAAACCAAGGATAAAACTGAACAACAGGATATTACTAAGCATAAACTACAAACTACTGTAAGTTGTTTAGGTAAGAAGAATACATGAACAACATACCTTCTAAAAGCTCGATTTGCTGTTGCACAAGCACTTGATCAATGGCAGTTAAATACTCCAGTCCAGGAGGGCAACCCATTGGTGCCTGAGGAGCCGGCATCCAATTCATTTGAGCAGGAACACCTGCAAGAGTTATTGCCTGAATAACATCTTTTGAACAGCAAAGATTGACTTACAGAATGTAATCTGGCAGAAAGTGGGGGCCTTTCGGTGCTTTTTTTTTTTCTCATAAAAAAACTATCATAGCCTGAAGAAGATGGGGTAGTTTCATAACCTCCAGTAACCTGCCCTGGCTTTGCCCATACATTTTATTTTACGAGATGAAACACTTGTTGCTTTCCTTGCATATTTTTTATGGACAGGTATTGAGTTTCTTCAAATCTACCTAAAAAATAACTTGTGTTTACCGCTTTTATGTACATATCGCTATTTCTTTGTTGTAGTCAGGACCATTCAGTAGACCAAGCATGGTCAACTTAAAACCATCAAGTCTCTATCTCTAGTTACCAAATACTGATCGAATTAATTTCTTACAAAGCTATTAAATTTGTAGGCCAGTAGAGAAATGGCACAATTTGCCATAAAGACACCCTTTTTGCCACACATAAATATGTAGCTCAACATGTTTCAAAATTTCCCAGCACAATATTTTGTTCTTAGACCAAGCTATATGGCAAAATTAATTTTTCACTCTAACTTATTTTCACTCTCTTTCAAGTGGCCTTAAGGTGGAAACCTGAAGCATGGTTTTGACACTTAAAGTCACTTTGATACAAGTAATTTTGATATGAACTAAAGCCATGAAACAACTCAACAAATATCCTAATCACTTTCAAGTATTGTTTGCATTCAAACAAGGAAAATATTTGGTGTGAAAATTCCTTGTTCTTTTAGCCAAGTATGTGAAACTTATTAAACCTTGACCGAATAATCTCCTATCAAAAAGACAAGGTATGTGTAAGTATCCATTTTATCATTTTCTGAAAAATTCATGACAATTACCCAGACTTGCCAACCCCCAAAAGGCAAAATTGAAAATATGTGAGACTCCTGAACCTAGAGCTGGGAAAACTGGTGAGAAAGTCATGAGATGTCCCAAATTTCCTGCAGAAAGGACTTCCAGTGGGGATTATAGGTAATTGGAAGTCACACATCACTTCAAAGCTGCAGCAGTAAACATCACAATCAATTTTACAATTTAGGTTTTGTAATTTCTATGTTTTGTTGGCGGCCATCTTGAAACAAGAGAGTCTGCACATTTGGTGGTAGCAGCAAGTTGCGGTAGGCTAAAAGAATGTAATTAAATGTGACTGCTAAGCGATTTTTTGGGATTGAGCTGGCTATGTATTGATATCTAACTTGGAAATATAAACCCTACAACTCCAAAATTCTTTTGGAGTTGGACTTTTCGTTAAAGCATGATAACTCATGAGAGCTTGAAATAGGTCGTAAAACCATCAGATTCCCGACAAAGTGGTGAGACTTGGCAAGTTCCATAACTATGGCCATTTAAATTCTGCTAATTCCACCAATTCTTAAGATCCTGTTCGAACTAAAATTCATCTTTGACATCTGGATAGCATTCCTGACAGCTGCGTTGATTTGACTTAATCTAGAAAATTATTTAGTAACATAGGACTTAAAGCAAATTATCAAATAACAATAAATTTGTTATGGTAGGTCAATTTCTCCTGCAATGAAAAACCAAGGTATTAAAAAGCCTTTTAGCCTCTAGGAAATTCCGCTTTAGAGCTTATGAATATTCAGAATACTAAGGAGCCCTACATAACATAATTTTGTAAACATTACACGCATTATGTACATTCGTAGCCAGCTATTTCAAATTATAAACAATCGAAAAGCAGAGCATTTTAATGTGCGACTTGTCGTTTGGTTTTTGCTGTTTTAGTGCGCTGAATTGTCATAAACGAACGATTCAACACTTGCACAGATTTATTATAAAGCTTAATTTATGCCGACAGTCTGATATCAAACCCCAAAATAGCCAGAGTTAATATTATACAGTAGGCTATGCTGCTAGCTATACGTTCTAGTGTGTTGAATTATCCTGTAGATACAGGCGATTCAACACTTTAGTCTACCCCAGCAAAAAGGGCAGTTAATTTTCAGCTCTTCAGGAGTACACTAAATGTCCTATACCAGCTAAAAGCCCTGAAATCAAAAGCGTGAAATCAGTGACCACACTGTACGTGCGAATTCGCCAGTCGTGGCGATTTCAGTTTTTCCTTATAAAAAGTCGTTTAGTTTGCGAGTTAAGCATCAGATAACTGCAGGAATACCTGGCTGTTGCTGGACAGGATGTTGATACTGAGCCATTGATGTTGTTTACCGAAGTTGACGTTGAGCGTGTTCGAGCGTGCTGTCGCGCCGAAACCTTCACAAACCTCGTCCCCAGTCCTTCTATCGTCCCACGCAGACGTTCTTTGGGGTTCGTCCAGAGGAGGAGTGAACGTCTTCCCACAATGCTTTGCGATTCAAAGTAATATATCAACATTTTCCTGACGTCATCATTCGGCTCAGACGCTTGAACAAGTCAGAGCAACATGGCGAAATGTGTTGTTAGAAATTCGCGGCTGTCACAGATCCGCTACGTTTCAAAGGACGATCAGTCTATTCGGCCTTTTGCTCAGGGATGCATTGAACTTGTTTTTCGTAATGCTCGTGTAATTTTTTGTGAAGGGTATAACAAAAAGGAAGGTTTCGTGATGCCACTCGAAACGTCCCGAAGTCTATGTTGATTTCCTCAAACCTGGTTTGGTTTCTGGAATCACTAGCTGTTAAATAAAGGTAAGTCGAATGTACCATTCTTTGTTTAATTATAGAACACTCCTTCCTTGGAGATTTTTGTCGTTCGTTATGTGTTGTTACTCAACAAGATTCTCGATCTAGGCTTGCGCGAGTTGCACGCAGTACCTTACTTGCTTTGTCAAGCCATTGAAATAAAAGGTAACTCACGTTTCCAACATTCCTTTAGTCTACAGATCCTTAGAGAAGACGATGATCCTGGCAGTACTTCCTTTGTTGTCCGTAAAATGGCGCAAGTTCCATTCATGTAAACATTGATGTCACTTCGTAATTTACTGTTTACTTTTCAATAGATCTCTATATTAAAGAATGTGCTATTTGCTGCAAACTTCTTTTGTACCGAATTATATTTTTTGCCTCTGGTGTTTTTGTTATACTTTCATTTTATACATGAAAGAATTGTTCCTACCTTCAGCTAGCTTTCAACCATAAAAAGCAGATGCCTGTTTGGCCTGTATACTGTCCAAACCATAACTTAAGATACATCCCTAACAATAGCCTCTTACACATAATTGGCAACTATTAATTTTGGATGGGAATGTGTTAAGTTGTCTTTGCTGCTATTGATGTACTGAAGAGGCAGTGGTAAGTTCTTCGCATAACCCCACATATTTATTATGAATACATGTTTAAACTCTGTGCACTTTAAACTACTACAAGAAAAAGCATGAAATTGTTGAAAGTATAATAAATGTATGGGATAATACAGAAATCTTACTGAGGCAGTTCACAGAAGAGTGAAAAAAATTTACTTACTTGTTTACATACTGTTTTGAGGTTTGAGAATATCATCTAGCCTCTACAGTTTACCATAAGCTGCTGCTTATAAGTCCTGGGCATATGCATCTTCGTAAAAAGGGTTTCAGAAGGGGTTATAAACGGAGGGGCTTCTAACCGAATAGAAAAAGCACTTTGAAATAAGCTATAGCTGTGGCTGATAAAAACACATTTTGTACTCAGTGGTTTTTGATTAAGCTTAAAAATGTCACAATAAATCAAATTTAATTCATTACATTATTTTGGAACAGACACTAGAGGGGGACTTATATCTGGGGAGCTTATAATCAGATGTGTATTTCGTTTACAGTCTTATAAGCGTTATTTGTGGCATGTTATTGAACATCTCACCGCCACTCCTAAGATAACTAGCCTCTACTCTTATTAAATGGCAAACTCAATGATAACCTCAATTCGTCTTATACCGTACACATGATCAAAATAACCTGCAAGAGCATCCGTTTTTTTGGCTCTAGTTTCACCCACCGAGAAAAACTGGATGAAACTAGAGCCAAAAAAACCGGGTGCTCTCCCAGGCTATTTTCTATAGGCTATAGAGAAAACAGTGTAGTCTGAGTCATAATATGGTTTCTGTAAATTTATTATTCATATTTATTTTCTAGTACAAAACATGTGAATATAAGAGAAACTTTATGGCAACTCTATAATAAAGACCCAGAAATAAAAATAATTTTTTTAACAGTCATTTTGCTCAAGATTAAATTAAAGGCTTTGAACCAATGAAAAAATGATTGTTAACTTAATAAATTATTCATTTGTTTAAATGGAAATGAGCCAACTAACCTCAGAATATCTTTCCTCTAAAAAGCCTGGTTGGTCAGTCATCTTTCAAGATGTTGTAGTGTTCTCAACCCGGGACAGGTATAAAAGAATTAGACTGAAACCTGAAAAGGTTGGAGCTATTTACCATGGTGGGTTCTGCCTTGGAGAACTCATTTGTCTATGTGTCTTTTGTTCAGGGCCATTTTGTACATCGGCAAGTGCACCTTTATAGCTTTTGTATAGTTGTAAAAATGCAAGTGATCCTGTCATCACAATTATTGTGCTATATTTGCATTGGCCTGCCATGGGACTATTGAAAAGGAAAACTATCACCAGCAGGACATAACACTCTTTGTGGAGAGTAACTGGATTGATATTGATACAAAAATGCCTCTAAGATGGTACTTTCTGTGCCATGTAAAATGAGGTAACAAAAAGATCCATCCATACATTCTAAAATCTATAATCCAACTGAGTCTGGTGTGCATCATCACTTTGATATGTAGCAACCACTAATCAAGGGCATCACTGATTTCATACACTTGAAGGTTTCTCTAAAAATGTAAATGAGATAAACACCTCAATCACAAAATATATAAAAATTATTTGGCAATAAAACAGTTTAAAAAAATGCTAGAAAAGCCATGAAAGCCATTCTTTTTTCACCTTTATGAATCCAAAGAACTGACATCTTATCAAAGAGACCGATAGCAAGATTTCAAGATTTGAAGACCTTCTATAATTTTTTTTAAATAAGGATAGATTTTAATTTTAATCACTTTGTTATTTCTTTGGCATTGGCTACCCTGCTTTATGGTAGAGCAAATGAAATTGAAATGATTGAAGATTTGGCGCAGGTGACGCAAGGGAATGTGAGATGTTTTCATAATTTATAAGCTTAATTAAGTCTATCTTCTCTTCAAATACTAGTTTAAGTGGAATCAAAACTGTATAATAATATACTGGGAATGTTTGAAGTATCTAACAGTGTTCAGATTAAGCCATTTTCCTTAAAAATCGGAATCATTAACAAAAAAATCCTTCTTTCAGAGTCTCCGCATTTCCTGAGTGATGCCACGTTTCGCAGCATTCTGTAAGACTTATCACAAAACCGCCAAAGTTGACCGATTTCCCGGCCTTCAAAATGTTCAAATTCCCGGGTCACTTTGGGTCACTTTAGTAAAAATAAGAAGATAAATCTCTGAATTACTTAAATGTCGGACTTGATTAAACAATACCCCACTAGAAAAGAAACTACAAACATGTTTTCGGAACCATTCCTAGGCAGTGAACGATGACAGATCAGGATATCACAATTCAAATACGAAAAAATATACGTTTCAGAAAAAATACTCTTGTAAAGCTTCCTTTTATGAAAATATAAAAGACAAAGAATGTATGAATGGTATTACTTACCTCTAGTTAGGATTCTAACCCGGTAAAAATGACACACAAAAACACTGTAAAAACACAAAGTGCGAAGGAAAACTCCGCCATCTTGGAATAAACACAATCGCAATGCACTGTGGGAAGATGTTCACTCCTCCTCTGGGGTTCGTCACTCGTTCCTGCCCCACGCACAGGGTCCAGAGGAGTTTCGTGTGAATAAATGAATTACTTACCTTGAAAAATGTCTATACCTGTCGCTTAGCACGATTAATTAGCCCAATGGGATCTTTATAAATCTACTGTAAACGATTTCTTCGCTTCTTATCTGACCCAGATCGACTTTTGAAAATCAATAACCGCAAGCCATATCCTCGCTGGCGCACGGCACGTCGCCCGGAGGGCGACCGAGGCACGAAGTGCCGAGTAAAAGAAAGGACAAGGGAGGAAACTTGTACCACGTGACTTCGTTCTATGTGAACCGCAGCACTCGGTGACGGAAGTCGGAATGAGACCGGAAACGCAAAAGCAACAGACCGCTGCTAATTCGAGAATCAAAACATCAGCTGCGGAGAGAGTTTTAAAGATCTCAGAGATCTATGCGAAAACAACAGAGTTTTAATTGAAGTGAAGATCTTTCAAGACTAGACATTTGTTGTACGTTTCAACAGTCTTCGATGTCTTAAGCAGGTTTCGTTTGTGCGAAGGCTTCCCAGTAGTCGCAAAACGCACAGCCAAAGACGCAAGAGGTAATAAAGTTGGACCACCGAAGAATGGCACAGGCGTGATGATTTTACAGTTGCCTTGTACGCCCGCTCTACTGAGTGTCACTTTTTATTGCAAGAGTACACACGACCCGTAAATCACTATCCGTAATAATTTAACATTCTCCAAACAAAACTAACAAGCTGGGCCCAGCGTGATACAGCATTGAAGAAAAACATTACATTCACGGACTAAAGAAAATCGCTTAGTTATTCAGATCCAGAAGGCACTTTGGAGAAAACTGGAACCCTTGTTCAGCCGTAATAAAAAGCTTTACGCCTCAAAAGAGGTCAAAGAAAATGCGCTTTCATCAGAGGGCAAATCCTGCCGACCAGAAACAATAACCGCAGTTAATCGATGTGTCATGACCTCTCAGTGTGAAACATGCGGCTAAAATCCCCGCTAAAATCACATTTGCTGTAGAACCTTCCAGAGCATAATCTACCCAGCAGAGGAAAAAAACTTTATTGGAACGAGCAGCATTTTGATTTTGGCATGAGGCAAAAGTCGTGTAGGCTTCCCTTTGATTTACGGTCATTTCGTTCCATAGTCAGATCGTTCCAAGTCAGATCGTTCCAATCAATAGTCAGATCGTTCCACAAAATAGTCAGTTCGTTCCACAAAAAAGTCAGTTCGTTCCACGTGTGAAAAGTCAAGTAAATTTTTCTAAATTTGTTGAGTGAACTTTATCGAGAAGAAAAACGTTTCGTTCATACCACAAACTGATAAGTTTCTTTTGTTTAACTATTCATACACCGCTGTCGATGAAACTTTAGTTTTATGTAAGTTAAAAATGATGATAGAATTGAAATAAAATTTCGGTAAAGGATGCGGTTGACTCCGATAACTCGAACCCTCGCTAACTCGAAC